AGTTACATTGATGAAATATTGTTTTATATATCCAATGAAAACAACCTACAAAAATATATCCGTCATAATATATAACAATATACTGCTAATAAATTATAAAAATATTTAATACAGTTAGTAATTTCTAAATGTATTTACATTAAACGTTATATACGTTTAATGTAATTACATGTTTTTTAGTTTTGTTTCTTATCATGTATCCACTACAGGAGGATGTAATTTTACCATATTTGATTCTATAATCAAATGTTATTCCATAATTCATACAGTAATATTTAAAACAAAATTATTAATTGCTAAAACTTAACCGGATTATGCCATGTAGCGCAATACTAAAAAAAATTCAGACATTAGTTTCATAATAATCATTATTATTATTACAGATGCCCAATATTCAAAGTGCTCGCAATTCTAACGGAACGTTCAGACAACCTAAAATATTTTTATTGCAAAAGAATAAGTATCTGTGATTTTTAAATAAACAACTTTAACAGTGTAGTACTACCAACTCAATTATACTCGATCCAGTACGATGAAACGATCATTAGCAATGGAAATGACACATTTTCACTATCCACCAGTTACGTAGTGCCACGAACAGTTTAAGCGCTCGCCTCTTCCGTCTACGTAAATGCTACGCCGTAGCTATGCAATATCCCTTAAGCTTGTAGTATAAATTACTTCGACAAAATCCAATATAACGTCAACAATGACAAGAACTGTTGACATTAAACAATAGATGTTAAAGTTAAAAGTGGAAAGATTGATTAAGTAGCTTTAAAATAATAAAGTATAAATATTTCTGTATTGCAGTATTTCGGAAAAGTCATGGCAAGACAGCTGCTTTCAGTTCAGATTGATATCCATTCGCTACAGATACGCTACGAATACTCAAAAAGCCTCTTCTGTGAGAGAAATAGTAGCTTCTTTAACTTTGACTTTGACTTTGACTTTTAATAAAGTGGACCCCAGCTACCTTACTCACCAGAAGAAACGCATAAGTGTAAAACTTATACTTCACGCCGGTCTTCTGTGAGGTCGAGGCACCCGGACGGACATGCTCATTCGTGTAACAGTGAACACCGTTGCGTGTGCCTACCACAGTGAAACTGTTAAGACTTGAAATATCGGTCGGATTCTACATTGTTAACCTCCAAATGAATGCCGTCATAATATATATACATTGCAATTTTTCACAAACCAAATATAACAAGTTTTGTTGCCACCGACAGAATTCATACCTGCGTCTTCTGAGTCGTGTCCAAAATTAAATTTATTTATATTATGTTACCAACAAGATACTCATCAAACCATCCTTAGAAATACATAAATAAGTAACTAGTTTCTTAAACTAAGTTTAAGTTATAACATTGACAAATAGCTAAAAAAAGAAATTAAAATAAGTTAATTGCTTACAAAGGATTAGTATGTATTTCTAAAAGGCTTAACCAAAAGTCTTAGAACAAACGAAAATTGCTTTTATAAACAAAATTTAACGTTCATGAAACTATGTAGTAAGTTAAATGAAACTATAGTGTATTCGCAGAAATATAAGAAATTATAATGTAAAAGTTAACGTTTCCAGCTTCCAAGAAAAAAATTTGTTGCGTGAAGATAATTTATGTCGGTTAAGACTTTAGTCCATAACTAACAGCAACTCGTAGTAATTATTAAAGAATATATAAAAACATATACTTTGATGAGTTTTATCGAAACAAAAGATCGGTAAAAATCAAAATTATTTGTTACGAAGCAGAACTTGTTTCATTTTCTTAAAAAGCAAAATTACTTAAAACAGTTATTTTTTAACGGAATTATGCGTGAGTTATTTTCGCTTATACTTTGCTATTTAGCGGTTATGACAATTGGTACTCATCTAGTAAAATATCGTGGACATAACCACTATTCTCCTTTATTTTCCACACTTGCCCATTATTCCTTCCAATGAGTTGATGATTTGAATGCAAAATTCGTTTTAACTTCAGTTGCTTAAACGAGTTACGAACAATAGCGGTTACCCTTTTTCATATAAATTATTAATACTTCGTAAATTTACAAAGTATTAAAAATTATTATAAGTATTAAAAATACCGTAGTATTTAAGTTTTCCATCATCCGTTCATCAGTTATAGATAGGTATTTAGATAATTCCGAGTCCGTGCTTTATCAAGTGGTTAATCTCTACAGTAAAATGTTAATGGCCACTGACATAAACACAGTTACCAAAGCGTACCAAAACATTGGTTTGATGTGAGGAACTTCGCGTCTATTTACTAACCAACATTAAGCTTAAATAGTATACTATACTAACGTTCACAGATTAGCACTATGCTATTCTGATGTGTGCTATAAAATTAAGGTTGGAAGCAATGAAAGAACACAAAGAAAATGTTTACATTACCATTACTTCAAGCATAAGTGAAGCAGCTGATTACTGTGTTGTTTTTATGCAATTTAAATGCTTTAATTTTTAATTCTAATTAAGGAGAGAAAGAAAGAAAATATTTGTTCTTGTCAAAAGAAAAGAATTGTTGGAAGAAATTAAAGTCGTCATTTCACCATTGAGATTATTATAGAGGACAAGAAATATTGCGATTAGTAATAATAAACAGTAATCAATGTGATTTCAATCATTTGGTTGGTTATGGTCATACCACAAAATTAGTTTAGTAAAAAAATATATAAGCTGAGGAATTTAATACAATTTTTTATAATACAAATAATACGAATAATTGCTATCTGCAAGAAAAAAGCATTACTTACTCAACAGTATATTTATTACTTAAAAGGTTTTCTATGAGCATTTTCTTCACTTTAATAAGTATCGTAAATTCACTCTCCCGTCCCCAATATGTGTTTATGGGGTCTTATTATTATCTGTCGGCTCATATACCGGTTGCTTACACCGCATTACCTCGGTGTCTAAAAATCACACCGTCGGTTGTCTCTACTGATTTCACGGTTGGCCGATTTGTATTTGAAAACATTCGAACTATTTCCTTATACTTTCACACTTCCAGCCCAGTGGTGAATATGCTCACTTCCTGCTACGACTATAGGCAGATATTTCCCGCTTATGATAAATATATTTCTTTATAGTGTTAATTGCTAAAATAATTATAACGCAGTGGCAGAAGGGGCAGAATAATTGTTCATTCCATTAACGAGTCTTCTCAACTACTATATGTATACTATTACGTCATGGAACGTCAGTAATCAGCAACGAATTCTGGTATAATACTGGTTTATCTTGTGCCCGCCCTTGTTGTATCCTAGTCATAAGTATGGTGTCATAAAATTATGTTTATTATAATATAGTTAATAAATCGATTCATATTTATTAAAACCTGTTTATCATACAAGTGCCGAAATCTGGCAGGAATATGTCACGGGATTTAATAAATACACGTAGAAGCCAAGTTTAAGGGTAGACGTGACTATGGCAGAAATGAAAAGCAGGGTTCACGAATTCGGAGTTTAATGGTCAAAAGGTATTTATAAGTATATACATTTTACAAAAATAATAAATAATTGTATTATCACTATATGGTATTTACAGGTGTGTTTTAATGAAAATCGAGACGACTTTCTTTTTAACGAGCTTTTAGTTACTTTCTAAGATAATACATACAACAATAACATTAATAGTTTGATAAATTAACACTAAAATATAATATTTTTTTTATTATCTTATTCATAATATACAGTACAAAATGGAGCAAAATAGAATCACTGACTTCGTTGAAATGTAATCAATAATTAAAAAAGAAATTTCTCCATCATAGTTCCGTACATATAATACAATAATTGACATTTAATTACAAGGGGTTAAGTAACAATCTCTGACATTATTAAAAAGGATTGCCTAATCCGGAGAATCGAGAGAAAGTTTTCTTTATATAATTTTAAGCATTAGAAAACAATTACCTTAAGACAATATACAGAAAAATATTTACATAAAATTACCAAAGAATTATATGTGATTAAAAGACCTCGATGAAAATAACTTTTATATATAATAATAACTTTCTCGATCTCGATAAAAATAACTTTTATGTATAATAGCAGACTGGATTATATTCACAGTTTGAAAACATTAAGTTATACTTATCATCAGTCACACCTCTTAAACATCTTTGTGTCACAGAATTTCAAAGAAATATATACAAAATTCGGTAACTGTAAAATCATCGATATACAGAATGATTCAGCTAATATCAAAACAACACCCAGCAAAGACTTATAAATTTTACGAAGGACATCCATTTGCTTTAGCCGTTTCCAGAATTACATGGATAGTTACTCAGTGTGGTCGTTACGCAAACGCAATGCATTGATCAGTCCTTTTTAAGATAGACTTCCTTTTCGCAACTTCATAAAACTAAAATAAATCTTGTGGCAGGTAAGAAACGTTTCAAAGGGACCTCAAAGGACCCTTGAGTGCTCGTAATACGAGAACCAGAGCCACATTGTTGTGCCAACATCCTCTTTATATAGCACCACGCGCACCTTAATCCTCTTTTGATTTTCCACTGCGTTATTGATTAATTTGAGTTTATAGAATACAATACATAGCATATTGTATTCTATAATAAATCTAATTCTATAATAAAAAAACAAAATACCCATGAAAAAGTTACGCTTACCCAAAATTTATTTGCGGTATTTTCAAACCGTATGAAATACAGAGAAATGACTAACGTATAATACAACCGCCAGTTTTTTTACGAATTAATCAAATTTTTAGTCTTTTTTTTTAATGTCTCCATACTACATATAAATTAATATTTCACATTGAACACATTCATTTTAAATGCATCATGTAACATCAAGCGTAAATATCAATTAGTATTTATACAAGTAGTGCAGAGCAAATTTTTTTGCCATAATTACTTTCAACTTACTATATATGAAAATTATGTTTTACGTTTTTCCGCATTTATTAAGCATTACATTTTAACTTAAATAATTTCGTAAGTCTTTTTAGTTTTTCTTATTTACACTTTTCGGCCGTGGATGTATGCTGTAACAAAAAAATATATTACTGTACAAAACATTTTTAAGGAATCTAATAATATAAATATGTAATAATTACCCAAAGCCTTTTCCCAACAAAAATATAGTAAATAACCTTTATCACCATTATTATATTGTTATTCATCTTAGATTAATTAAAGTCAATCAACAATCAGAAATAAAATTTTCACGAAGTACTAAGTAGTCTGAGGCCCTAGTAGGGCATAGCCCTATTAAACCCTAGTAGGGCATAGCCCATGCTTTACAATGCTAGAAAATACCATTGGCTTATGGAATTATTCTCTACTAGCTGCTGCCCGCGACTACGTCTGCGTAGAGTAGCCTGAAGGCGTAACATTCAAACAGAAAGCCAGATATACATTAAAACTGTATATAAATTATAGCCTATGTCTCATTCCGGTGTATAAGGTACATTATTGTAAAGTTTCATTAAAATCCATTCGGTAGTATTTGCGTGAAAGAGTAACAAACATCATACAAACTTTCGCCTTTATAATATTAGTAAGGATCGTTCCTTTAGTCTCTGTTGTGTCTTTTTTCCCTTCAAATCTGCCATTCCCTTACCGGGGTATGGAACGGCAGATATTTGCCTTATTTGTGTCACTCACTAAGTTCTTGTGGATCCCTTACCGTCGTAGTATGTGCTGTTGGGGCACTTGGGGCAGCTAGCAAGCGAACTCGGTTTCTGCAACCTTGGCGGGTGGAGGTCCAGATACGGCCGGCGCGGCCATCCGCCTGCCACACTTCCTCTTGAATCGTTGCGTTCCTCTATACCTGTAGAAACGCACACTTCGACACAGTTATTCTGCCACTTCGGGCGGTCACGTAATTCGCTCTTCCATATTTTGTATCTCATTGGCATAATATTATTGTGCGCAGTGACGTACACTTTGTTTGTTTTATCTATGATTTTATGATCCTTTACAATCGAGTCGGATATACGGAATGTGCTATAAAAGATAAAGAGAGTATAAATAATTCAGAGCAAGTACAATGACTTCACTAATTTTCGATACAATTTTTATTTGCCAAACTATATCTTTCTAACTGATTTTAACATTATTAATCCTATTATTATCCTAAGTCCCAAAGCCCATAGAATATATTATTAGCTCTAATCTCAATTTATTACTCGTAGGGTTACGACGGAATCCCGTAATCTAAGAAGATCGTACGGCCTGTAATTTGACCCGATCACACTTAACTAATTTTAGAATTAGATCCCGTACAGGATATCAAATGGGAGTGGGTTCAAACAAAATTTATAACAATTGAGTGAAATTAATTATTCCTCTCTTTAGATTGGATATTTTTATAACTTTTATTTTATGTCAATTAACTATTAATAATTACTTATCAATTAATTTACTAGCTATTTTAATTAATAGTTTAAATTAAAGCAACAGTTTTTATTAAAATAACAGACAAAATTAAGTTTAGATCTCAGGCAAGATTTAAATTGCTTCAAAACTTTTTCGGTTGGCCAATTCTACGAAACCACATTTTAAAATTAAACAACTTCTACTTTCTACGAACCAACCAGGAGTATTTGACCAAACTTAAGTCTAATAGTCCCCTAAATCTAATTATGGTCTGGCAAAGGTAGCGAAAGCTAATGATGTCCACTTTTAACTTTCGTTTAGTTTTTTTTTTTATGTTAAAAGTTGCCAAACGAGCAGATGGTTCACCTGATGGTAAGTGAATACCGCCGCCCATGGACATCTGCTACACCCGAGGGTCACAGATGTGTTGACAACCTTTTGAAAATTGGGCTCCGGCTACCTCACTCAGCAGACGAAACGAGAAAGTATTTGTCATACTTCCACTTTACGCTGGTACCACATTACCACATTACTATTTTGGGGGGATATTCATTTGTTTTCTCGTCTGGTTGGGTTTATAAATAAATATAAAAATATATTGTATATATAAAATAAATATTATGGATAAAAATAAACATATATATATATATATATATATATATATATATATATATATATATATATATATATTTATATATATATATATTTTATATAATACATATAAATAGGACCCAACCAGACGGAAGCCCTCGGCAGGGGAGACTACTACTATTATTCTATACTTATATTTTCCATTCTAGATTATTTTAATAACAACCACTGTTTAATATAATTAATTATTTCCACTTAATAAACTGATAAAATATCTTAAAAGTGCGAAGTTATCACTTCAAATAATAATTACGTTAACGAGTAAAAACCTGATCGGGATCGACTCCCGGAGTGCGATATGCAGTCCGGCGGTGACTCTGGCAAAGGACGTTTCCGGCGGAAGCACGTATCTCGCCAACGGCATAGTATTGCCGTTCGGAAATACGAACGGAACCTGCGAGGTTCAAATGAGGCTAAGTGCTAAGTGAAGTCGAGATGAAAATGTAATTAAATGAACACAGTTCGAAAAAACTAACACCAAATGAAACAGCACGAAACCTTAAGTCATATATGGCTGACTGACTAGAAACTTAACTGAGTAAATAAATATTTTCAGTTTTAATATTAAAAATATGAATTCTTTGTAGATAAATTGGCTAAAAGATCGACGCTGAGTAACTCGAACTCAATCTTGTTGGTAACTCTCACAAAAACACCCATCTCTAACCACTAAGCTAAGCAGATATCCCCTGGTCGCGAAACTATCGTAGCCTCAATCAAAGAAACACAGATAATAACTGCCATTCACTTTTCAATAACCTAATTGATCTCTATCATTTAATATTTTAAACGGAATGTACTCTTAGAAAGACTAAAAATTTTGCGCAACAATTCTTAAAACTGCTTTCAAACAATTTGAACGACATTGCTAGTCATAAAATAAAACTTCTAAATATTTTAGCACTCAAAATAGAAGTTGAACTGAAATTAAACTATTACAAAAATATTGATTTCATCCTAAGCTGTTGTTAGTCTTCTTCGGCTGTTATATGTTGGTGATTACTCAGCAACAACTTTTTATGAATAGGTACATATTACGCCTGTTCAAGTATAACAGTCAGTCATCACTTTTAAACATTGTTAAGATACTAAATATAGAAAAGGTATTACTAAAGTCGTTATATTATAGGTTGAACTAAGGTAATTTGATCAAGCGACGTTTTCTGCTATAAATATAACATCAATCAATACACGAATCAGCACTTAGTATATACCGTGACTTACTTGGCGTTCATCCAATAATAAATTATGGGATTGACCATAGCATTCGCCATGGCAAGCCAGTAGAATCCGAGGTAAACGTGTTGGACGTACTTCATGTACAAAATGGAGGGATAGAAGTGAGTGTAGATAAAGTAAGAGTGATACGGCAGCCAGCAGATTCCGAAAATGACGATCACTAAAATGAACATTTTCACGACCTGCAACAATTTTGATCACATATCAAGGAAACGACTAAATAAAGACTATTTAATCGTTTCCTTGATATAGAGATACGTGCATTAAAAAGGAGTGTGCACTAAGAAATAAATGCACTCACTACATTAATTCTACTAATTGGCTTTTTTTTTAATTTTCAAATAGAATTTGTTACGGTTCCATATAATTTATAGTTTTATTTATTTATAGTTAATTCAGGCCAACAAAAGTCTAACGTTTCCATATCTATCCGTTTCACATTTGAATAAATCGAAATAGACAATAGAAACTACTTGTTATTGAAACCTAGCCACTATTATGAATTCAATTAGAACTGGACCGAAAATACAAAATGTATTATTTATGAGATATTAAAGAAAATAACCTTTGAAAATTTTGGTCACATCGACTGTAATTGAAATTTGGCATTCAATGCGGAACCTTTTATGACAAGAATGGAATAATGATTTTATGAATTTGTATACGGGAAAATTATAAACAATATACGTCCATTAATGTAGGTTTAAAAATATGAGAGCAAAATGTAAATAAATATGAGAGCAAAATGTAAATAAATATGAGAGCAATATATATATATATCACCCAAAACAAATTTGAAACTTGTTTTAATGCTTGTCGAATTCAATTAAATTCCCGTTTAAAATAGGGACTACCTTTAAATTACCTTACCTTTCGCTTCGAACGAATAGAATCCACTTGGCGTTGAGTGAGCTCTCCGATGGAACGTGATCCCCACAAAACTCGACCCATGGCCGAATAGAAAAATGTCATTCCCACCATCGGTACCGCATATGTTACCACAAAAAAGAGAACTTGATACCTGAATTGGAAAAAATATAATTAAAACAATATTTTTACAGCGACTTATTTCAAAATGTGTTGCTGCACTTAAATGTATGTACTATAACAAAGTATTTTTTAGTATAATAATTAATGACAGAAAAAGACGTAATAACCCAATTTATTACGTCTTTTTCTGTCATTAATTATAGTATTATAACCTCTTAAAAAGATAACTTAAGATGTAATAAACATTTCTTTGGGGCTTCAAATCCATCCATCCATATCTGTCTAATTTGTTTAATATACCTACAGTTACATATTAGTAATTAGATGCGATGATGTCGTTTAGATAAATTTATGTAATCAAATATATATGAAATTTGTCGCATACTTGAAATGAGGAAATTTCAAGTATGCGACAAATTTCATCTTTCTAAATGTTAACCATGACAATCTTATAATTATTACAATCTTTCTAATTTCTTCAATTTAAAACTGCCATGTTAACTTCTGCTTGCTTAGAAGAAATGTCAAGAGCTTCTTGATAACGCATTAAATTATATTATTATGGGTACCATGGAGTATGGAGATTATTGTCCTTTTTTTTTTTCAGAAAAATATGGGTTGAATTTATAGGAATTAATCGAATTCCTTAATTATTATCAAAGAAATTTTCTAAAGCTAGATTGTTCCATAAATTAGTGATAAGAATCGTTCAAGTAAGTTATTACTTTCAATTTGGGAATGGGCCGTATTAATAGCAAAGTTGTATCTTTTATGAATGTATGTACATAATATCAACATATTTCATTATATATTGAAATAATAACCACTAACCATAAATACATGAGACGATTATTCTAAAATAAATCTTTCTAAAATTCTTAAATTCGTCTATATTCAAATACTAGGATCTAGATTTAGACTTTTTACGGCTTATGATTAGCTTTAATAATTATGTTAGGTCAAGCATGGCTAATTGACTGAACGAAGAGGTCAAAATGCTTTTGGTTGCAAATACAGCTCTTTGATTTTGGCGTGTAAAGCATTTTAAAATACTAAAGTAAAGATTCGGTAAGTTATAAGTCCCAGGTTCCATTTAGTACAATATATGTATATATATATACGGCTTAGATTTAAATTGTGTGTTATTTCTGTTGAGGCATCTTAACTTAAGAATGAAATAAGGCGGTAGTAATTACATATTCTCTGCACGATTCCAGTTCTTTTATTTTTATAAATCGTCACTGAAATGTATAAATTGTTCTTGCCGACATTTACGTACGGCCGTAGTTGTAATTGTAACAAACGGTTTTTACAATATTATACTACTTACACAAAATCCATATACGAAACATCGGGTAAGCCATCAGGCCAGGACAGCAAACAGGCGGTTTTTAAAGTGCCTTTCGACCTGCGACAATAAGAAGAAATGTGACGTCCTGTCCAGGCAATGTTAAAGTATTAGAGCAATTGGTTAAGAAAAGCATCACTTCTATTTAAAATATCTTATATAAAACTTTGTTTCATCGTATAAATGTTCTGAGGCTAAACATGAAAGCTGTGTTACATGTTGTTGTTGGATTAAAATTTATGACATAAATGGTGAATTAATTTGTAATGATTCTGCTAACAACTTATTCGTTTGATAACAAAGACATTTAGCTCAAGTTGATTTTATACTGAAATCTATAAGATATTTAAACACTCATACATAATTCAAATATAAGTTAGTAGTATTCAATTTAGAAAAAAAATATAAGCTAGTTTTGCGTTCGGTAATTTGTTCAGTTTAAACATCGGTGGTACTTATTTTAATTTAAGACGAAATTTTTTAAATCGCAAGTATACTTAAGCAGTAAATGCGTTCGAGTAAGTTCAAGAAGACTGTCGTCATGTTATCGTGGACGCCGTAGCGTTTGTTTTGAACAAGAATGTTTTTATGCTTCGTCATCTGTGTTTACATATTCTATTCACGATATTGGGGCTTGTGCGTGCTCGTTTATGGATAAAAAGAAACTTGTCATGCCTAATTAATTGACACTCTTTTCAAAAAGCTCTTTGAATTATAAAATAATTTTGTTGGCATTTAATATTGTAAATATTTTTGTTCGATAAGATAATTAAATTAATTTTACTGCTCTTTAACCATATAAAGATGTTACATAATATTACTGATTTACATAAAGCATAGATCGCAGAATTTACATAACGTGAAACACTAATCTGTTGTTGTCAATACGTGAAGGTCGCGCATTTATTCGTAACCGTAAACTTGTAATCGATTTAATTCAACTCGCAGATGTTATGTTTCTGTTGCTTTATTGGTTAAAAATAAAAGTGATACGGGTGTGTTGTTGTGAAACGGACAAATAAGATCGTTCGACTTAGTGAGTGCAGTAATGAAAATCGTACCAACTTGTGAAACATGCTAAAAATAAGAAAATTGTTAAACGGTGATCATCATATAAATTAATTAATTCATGTGTCAGGCCATGTTTTTACACAAAGTTATTTAGTTCCAAAATAAGCAAGGCTTATACTGTTTATACTAGATGAAAAGAATCAAAATAGATCCTTAAACATATTTTTCTTTCGTAAATATTATAAATATGGAAACACCCAGACACTATAAAAACACTATGTTCATTACACAACATTTTCCCAGCAGTGGGGATCGAAACAACAAACTCTAGCCCTGGAAACAGGTCCATTATTCACTACGCCAATCGGGTCGTCGTTAAAGGTTCCGTTAACTCTGCTAGCCAGGTTATTACTGTTTAATTAAAGCCTATATTTACTTTTTAAATATAGAGCTGCAACTGATAATACAAAAGATGTCATTCATTATAACTTAATGTCTTTTATAAAGACTGACACAGCGGAAAAGACCATACATATGATTTCGGAGAAGCAAAAAAATTCTATATGTTTTTGCTCGAGATAATGACCAGGAATATGTAAACGAGAACTAATACTATTATCATGTTATAATTCATAAATTTACAAAGTTCCTAATATTCAAAAACGAACACTATTAAATACTGTAACTCAAATATTGTAAAAGTGATTCAATTATATAAGTGTATAAGTGTGTAACACAACTATTAGTATGCAATACTTTTTCAAAGACTTGACAAAGTGCGACAGTGATTTAAGACAATTTTAGTCAGGCTTCAACAGCAATTGGGTATAGGCAGAAAAAGCTTTACTTACCGGTATTCCTTTGTTGTAGAATAGAGCAGACATGGTACGGCCAGAAGCATTCCACTTATCCAAATTCCGGCGATCATTACGAGGGAACAGGTTTTGGACATTCTAGGTCGCATTGGCCTAACAATTGCTTGATACCTGTAGAAAATCATGTTATTATATGTACTTTTAAAATTTTATATTATTATAAAACATATGCTCTGTAGGCATCTATTATAATAAGGTATTTCATTTGGAAATAGAAATTGTAATGGTAAATGAATTAATTTTAATTTTAATTCACAACATTTACGCGTGTCAGGCATATTTCAGCAACAGAAAAGTATATTTTAACCTTAGCTGAAAAGGTCATTGAACAATATGATGAGGCATCTTATAAATAAACTGTGATGTCACGTCATAGACTGTTAAGGGGCTAATACTAATACTTTCGCAATAGCCAGCATAGGCATTTGACTTATGTATCGTCATAGTCTTCGCTCATGCGCCTGATACGTTTTTTAAGATGAGCCAGCTAGCAAACTTGCCTTTTACCCTTTACCGATCATATCACGGCTTGTAACATATTTATTTATAGAATCAGATAAGCTACTGATTGAGAAAGAGAGCTTGTAGCTTTAACATTTAACGGTAAATTTTTAATTTTCAAGTGTAAAAACTTCTTCCGGTTTATTATGAGTACTATATAAGTACTTTCACAGAACGGAAGCTTAACTTTTACACTCAAAGCATTATTGCGAGCATACCTATCGAAGGAGATACCCGTCAGCGTGAAAACGCTGGCAGCAACAGTCACGTTGGCAATGAAATTGCTCAATTGACAATACCGCACTCCAAACACCCAGTCACTGGGAAAAGCAAAAACAATTTGCCTTAAACAAAAACTAACTGCAACACTAACTAAACAACTTATCAGTTGATTTTCTGGTAAGTAATGTATAATTATGATTCAATAAAAATAAACTATCTAATGTAATTAAAGGACAAAATTTTAATGCTTAAGAAAATATTTGAATGATTTGTCCAACAAAATCCCGATTATACCATTAGAAGTGTCAAATAAACTCCTATAATGTCTAAATTTTCCTTTTTACCGCCTAAAGATATTTAATTGTAATAAGTAAGCGGTGGTAAGTAAAGCAATACTATATTGATATCTAATACATTTTCAATTACAGAATAATCGTGTTAAAATCATACCTATGCAACATGTAGATAAAGTTGAAGAGACAATTGAGGGACGCCATCATTAAGTCGGCGAATGACAGATTAACCAGAAAGTAGTTTGTTACTGTTCGCATTCTTCGATGAGCTGTTAAAATAAGATACTTTAATTAACGGCATGATAATAAAAGCTGTTTATATAATAATAGATGCTTGTATTATCCTAATAACATAAAAATATTCATTAACAACTGAGGGTGACTATTGACTTGACGTTTAAAAAAAAAGATATTCATTTTAATAATTCTTAGGTACACAAATTTTCTCACAACTTTCGGCTCGTCTTTTATATTTGTTACATCAGTGCGCTTTATTAACATAGTAATAAAACATTACACTTTAAACAGACCTGTTACAATCCAGATGACAATGGCGTTACCGCCGATCGCGACCGCCAGCATGGCTGCGAAAAGACACACCCAGGAGTTGTGCGCCCATTGTGGCATTGTCACAGAGTTTGAAGTAGTCGGTGTGGGCGTTTTGGGCACAAGCAAAGTGGATACGCCGAGCGTGCTCCTATTGAAATCCATCTCCCACGTGTACACGATCTAAAAAAACAACGTTACTCAAATTTAAAATATAACGGTGGTAGAGCCATGCAGCAGCCTCGGCTATTGCACGAATGGGCAGGCTCGTCCGCGTAAGTACCACGACCTCACAGAAGACCGGCGTAAAGTGGAGGTATGAAAAATAATTTAGCGTTTTGTCTGGTGAGTGAGGTAGCCGGAGCCCAATTTCCAAAAAGGTTGTCAACGCATCTGCAAGCCCTCGGGTGTAGCAGATGTCCATGGGCGGCGGTATTCACTTAACATCAGGTGAACCGTCTGCTCGTTTGGCAACTTTTCGCATTAAAAAAATAATAATAATACGTAATTATTCCAACACTATGAAATATAAAAAAATATAAAGAGTTTTGAAAATGCTTTATGACCTGCCTTATTGAATATTTAAAGAAAATAAAAACGTAAATGGGTTTAAAGCTATTTACGGAAGAAATCACGACACTCTTCGGTTAAAAATAATACGCGAGGATAATGTACGCTCTTAGAATATTCAAAGGATCGGGATCAAAACAAAACCCCTCCTATACAGGCGAAACTAGATTGTTACACCAGTACAATTTTTCATAAATAAGATATTATGTTCGCCTTGCAAAAGTTGATGAGTTTAAATGGAAAAAATAAAAGACATTTTAATAGCTACTCTACGGATTTTACCATTATGCGAGATAAACGTGGCTCGATTTTGGAATCGTACCATTTTGTATAGATGTACACTATTTTCTTTCAAAGGTTGTTAGAGTGTTTGACATGGTTGAAAAAATAGTATATATTATTAGACATCGTCAGATAATATCATTCGAATATGACTGTAAAAAATAAAATGTTATAATAGCTCGGTCGGAAATCGGGCGGCCCCAAAACAGACGGCCGCGGTTCGTATCACGATCATTTACACACCTTTGTTTTTTACTTTTTTTTTCTATACCAGATCATTTTCTTTATTTTTTTTTTTTTTTTGTTTCCAAAATACATGGTTTACCAAAAAAAATACGAGCAAAGCTCGGTCCTCCGGGTACTTATTATTACGCAACAAAAAATGTACGAAGTCGCTTATTGTGTACGAAGTTGTTTATTGAATCCGTAAAACAATTTTAATATACTTAATAAATCATTGAAACTAAAGACATCAAGAAACAAAGACCAATTTTATTTAATATTTACCATAATTACTCTTCTGGTAACTTTATATGATTTCACTATAGATTTGTGCTACGTAAAGAGCGCATATTTGGTTACAAATTGCTACGTAGAGTATATAAGCGATAAACGTGGAGTGCTACAAACTAGAGCGAGTCACAATAAGCGACACACACTAACTTACCTTTTTACTTCACCGCATATATAATAATATAAATAATCTCTCATAAGAATCTAAGCGGTGGACGTCGTTGGTATAAAAAGTATAAGGTTGCCCTATTAATATCTACGGTCATACCATTGACATATCATTAAACAGAACGAAACGTTTAACGAAGTTCGTAAATTTGTAAAAAGTATGAGTAGTATCAAAGAAAGCAATCTGTATGTAAAAATAAATTCCATTAAGAAATTAGCGTTATCAAAATGTTGGACAAAAACCATTCAGCATTAAAATAACAGCTAAATAGTTAACTGAACTCTAATGTAACTCGTTACCTCAACGTCCTGCATTGTTGGTTGTTTCTTGAAACTGTGGCAGGCGTAAAACTTTTCTCTTTGCAACGTTAATACTTCATCCATTTCTTTCGCTCGCACAGTGATTTTTTCGTCTCCATATCGAAAGAAAACTTCTTACGTGAAACTCAAACATGAATTTACTCTTACCACGATCGATATCCCCGCACTGTAAAGCGATATTCAAATATATTACCTTTTCTTTGAGGTATAATTATTTTCGTTCTGCTTTGATTAAAAAAAATATTTAATAATTAATAATAATAAATTATTTAAAGCCTAGTCTATTTTTTGTAGCTTTACGGATATGTGCATTGAAGGAGAAAGATAATCAAACAAAACAAAAATGGAGCTAAATTATTTTAAAGGACGGTAGTAATGACCATTCTCATATAAATAACACCCATCAATTTGCTCGAAAAAAACCTTAAAAAACTTAATTCGTTTAAGATCGATGTTCGGTTCCTATATGATACATTTGTATGACGTACAAAGTTCATAAGCAAGCCGTATGTTTGTGTGTGTGATTTGTGAAAAAATCCCACACTATAACTTAAAACCTTAATTAATAAAAAGGCCCAAATTATTTAAAGCGTTTTATCTACATTAACATTATGTTTCCCTACATTTCTTCGAATGCTACAAATTCAAAGGTACTGAAAATAACCGACATTTTGCTTCTACATTTTGATGTAGAAGCAAAATTCGTGTTAGTCCTTTCATTATTCATCCAGATAAATCTACTTAGATAAATCGGCCGTCTAAGACGGCAAAATTAATTCCAATTTATATATCATCGGTAATTAAGATTGAAGATACTCGATACAATGGGGTTCACTGAATTACTTTTGTCCATACTGAATACTAAATAATCATTTAGGGTTGTGATACTACGAGCGACAGAAAATTTATTTCGGTATTGACGAGCTATCGTTATTTGCCACAGAAGAATAAACGATTTATTTACATACAAATGCACCTGCATTAAAAGAAAGAACTATAGAACAAGTGATTATGAAACAAGCCACTGAATTACTGTGGTAGGGTCCTATATTGTTGTTACACGAATGGCAAGTTCGTCTGGAGAAAAACCACGTCTTTACAGTCTCGTTTGGTGAATGTGGTAGTCGGGGCCCACCTTTTTATGTTGGCAACGCATCTGCCACCCGTACGGTACAACAGATGTCCATTACTCTGCTATAATTGTAGACCACTACGCAGACACTGTAACTTTTTTTATGTAAATAGTTTTGAAGCGAGCCGGCGGTTCGACCCGTCGTCAGTTTTCAATAAAGTGGGGCCCGGTTACCTCACTCAACCGCATATCATCCCTTACTTAGTTTAAAAAACTAAGCGTTCAAACAACGGGAGCGACTTTTTTATCCATACTAATATTATAATCTATATTTATTATATGTCTGTCTGTCTCGCTTTCACTCAAAAACTACTGAACCGATTTAAATGAAATTTGGTACACAGATAGTCCAGAGCCTGGGAAAGGACTTAGGTTATTTTTTAATTGGAAAAAAGTGTTGTGAAAAACGCGAGCGAAGCCACTGGCGAAAAGCTACTACTATATAAAGATGCTCAAGAATTAATATTTTAGTATTGCTTCAATTTTACACTGTCTCTAGTTTCTATATATAAGCTATGTATCCAAATACTAAAAATAAATAAGGATTCTCTGAATCACAACCTGAATTTCCTAACTGTACCTTTCATTATAAACCTTGAAAAACCCCTTTACTCAAAGTAAGGTTATTGTGATCATAAATTAATCTATAGTAACTGCTTTGGATGGATGTGGGTTTTGCATGTTAATTCAATTTATTGAAAACGGCTCACTACTTGATATTTTCGTATAAGAAAGCGATTGCTTAAAATTCCCCTGACCTTAGGCATCCTTCAAAGCCTACAACCCTTTCGTTTTTATATAACGTTAAAACAGAAATAGATCTTTGAGGCATCCACTCGTTACAAAATCTGATAGGAATCCTATTAATTTTCAATTGCAAGGACATCATTTAAAATTATAGACACAAATTTAATTTTATACTACTAACGTTATATTCCCTTTGTGCCCAAAAGTACTTCATTGTAAAAAGACCAATACATTTAAATTGTTATAGTGCTTATCTCGTCACTTAAGGTGAAACATTAAAATTTGTAGAAATTGGCAAAATACTTATAATTAACTATAAATTTAAAAAAAATATAAAGCTATGGCTAATAATTATAACTTGAACTAAAACTTCAAGGCAATAAGTAGTTCTGCGTATTCGAACGTATTAATTAAGGAACTAGTTTAATTCCTCGTAAGTTAAGCTATAATTTTAGAGTGGCTCCCATGTATTTTGGTAAAATGGTACTACAACGCTAAAAACACGGGTAGCTTAGCCATGCGCAAGCCATGCGGGTAGCTTAGGTAGCTTACTACACTAGCCTGATTAGAGGAATGTTAATATTTAAAAGCAAACGAGAGTAAAATTTAAAATATTCAGTATAGAAAAGGTAGACATTTAAATGGCCAAATAAATTTCAAAATATAAAAAGCCTGTTTTAAAGTAAACCAATTCAAAACAACCAGTGGTCACCCAGTGGTCAAAATTCCACTATTATTAATTATACATGGTAGTGTATGTGTATTTTTTTATTGTACTTTCTATGTATTTTTTTTAAATATTAACATTGTGCACTCCTCTTGTAATTTCATAATGGATATTTCGTCTTCGCAATTTTCGTAAAAAGGGGTGCAAAGTTTTTGCTTCGCGTATTAATATATAGAGATTAGGGTATAAAATATTTCCATAAGTATACAATATTTCAAACTTTCACTCAAATCTTTTAAGACGTTGCTGTCTGAATGGCAAACTGACTAAAAAAAACTTGCATATAAGCTTTTACATTTATAATATAAAGTGCAATTCAGGCTATAAAGTGGGGGCTCTGGTCTTTTCTTCAAATAATATCTTCGAAAATATTTGAGCTTTATTTCAGCTACATGACCGTCTCTCTATTTTCATAGAATTTACTTATAGCGACATAGTTCTGATTCCAGTCCTGGGAAAAATGCTGGTACAAGGAAGGAATTATTTAATACCAAATACTCAGAAAATTATTACGTATAAAACAATTGCTTTTTTTTTCTAGTTAACAGCGAGGCAATGTTAACTAAACAAGCGCTCTATCAAGCTTTGTAAAAAACACTTAACCTGGATATAATAAATTAATTTGTTTGGGACAAACTTTATCGGTTCGATGTTAGATCTTTATATGTATAAATAATATAAAGATATGGTTTAAATTGGCAATAATTATTCTATGTCATATCCTTCAATACTGTTCCTTTGACCTTGGACGATATTCGAATCGGCGGGAATTTGAAAAAAGTTTACAACGTTAATAGTCTTAGTGAACAATTTACCTTATAATGTGAAATTCATGAGTCATATAATCATAGCCATTGATCTGATAACACCGTTCTACATATTGCCAACAAATCTAGGTCTATAAATTCCGAGCATTTGATATAAAAAGTTGTCGCCTCTACCAAAGGCATATATTATATAGTTATCGTTTCACATTGAGGTGATAAAAATAAAAAAAATAATTAAAATACTGAAGTTCTCTCAGGCCAATGCAGCAGATCATATAAGAATCGTGGTAATTTTATCGCAACAAATTTCGTTTCAGCGAATACCAGAAACAACTTTCGTAGACGGGTGTTAAATTTGAAAACTTTCTTAATAAAGGTGCCTCTCAATAAACTGTACATTGACCGGCTTTTCGGTGTCGATTTATGTTGCTTCAAAAACTTTTGATATATATATATATACGGAATACAAACATGAATTCACTTAAAACTTATGAAATAAGCAACTGAAAGTTATAACATGACTGATTTCTATATATAAAAATTTAGTAAAATATGTATTTAAACCCTAAAAATTATGTTTTAAATTTCTATTTAAGTAATATTTTTTAATTTATTATATACGATACTTTTAATCTAGTTCAGGTTTTAACTTCTAAACTGTAACTTTTTTAATGAGACATTTATAAATACAATCAAAACCTTCATCAACCAGAAAAATTAAAAATTTGTAAAAACAGCACAGCTTACCTCAGTTTCAAGTATCTTAGATACTAAAGTTTTCTTTAATTTTACATGAACTAGCAAACTTCTAACTTCAGCAAATAAACATGAAGTCACTTAACACTGACAACATCAATATTAATTATAGATTCCTATGAGTAATGTGAAATTAAAGTTACTTCATATTAAACAGAACACATTTTTAGTTTCATTCGGATACGTATCGGCAACTCTTCACAGTTTCAGCGGACACGTCCGTCGCTGGGGTGAAAGTAAGGAACACTGATGCCCTTTACCACTGAGTAAAGCGCGAACCATCAAAATCATAGTAAAGGAACTCTAATTAATTGGAAAGGAAAATTTTGCGAGAAATTCATTCATTTCCGCAGTTTTGTTTTACTATATCAGAGAAACGTTATGTTTGCAGCCATACTCGGTCATAACGTTACTCACAAAGTCTTTGCCTATTTCAGTATTTACTGTATATAGTTACATCTTCATGATATCCAAATTTGGAAGTGAACAGTGATAACCGGAATTTCGTTAAGTAATAAAAATTATGCAACTAATTAAATAACGCGATATTTTTTTAGTATACAATACAGTGCTGTCTATATTAAAGCACTTTATGATGGATGAAATAAACATAAGCGTATTTTTATTTAAAAAATTCGAGAAACAAGTCCAAGTCATATAACTTACTTTCTATACATGGTATAACATGCGGATATGGTTTGAAAAATAATATTATTTCATATATTTGTCAATTTTATTTCATATTTATTTTGAAATTTTGTCCTTAATGAAGGTCGAGTTTCAACGACATTTGCTACTCGTTAGGAAGATTTATTCTCGAGTGTTCAATATTCCGAAGGATTAAACTCAAGATTTCCCTATATAAGAAATCTATAATTATTCATAAGTTTCCAAATGTGACAAGTGGGGCTGTGTGCTATTCAGAGACTGTAAT